AGCTGCTTTTTACTGCATTTTGTACACTGCCCCCCAACACCACCACCACCACTGTATTGAGATGATGTTGCCTCACAGTTCACAGATAAAGCAGAAGCCATTGTTTTGGAGTTCTTCTTCCCATCACCAAATCAACAAACCTATCTGACTCTGCACTCATCTCCTTCTGCCCTTTAAATGCAATGGAGAAGGCATCTCCCTCCCAACATTCAGCAAAGGTGATTCCTTTCCACATCCATGTCCTTTTGCCATTCACCTTTTGAAGGGCTTTGCTGCCTGATTATTCTACCTCTCTTGTGCATCACCAATCTCTCCATCTACACTAAGTTATTCCCACTAGCATGCAACTGCTGTTTACCATAGTCCATCTGGGAGCAATGTTTCCTGCCTTCCTCTTTCTCTGTTCCCTTTCTGGACCAAACTTCTTACAAGAGTTGCCACATCATGCTGTTTACACTCCTCCTAGCTGTTCACCCTTCAAATTCATTGCAGTTTCTCTTCCACCCTCACCATCTCTAAGTAACTGTTCTAGTTAAAGTCTCCAATGACCCCCATGTTTTCTGCTCTCACTGAACCCTCAACAGTTCACCATTCCTTCGTGAAATACTCTTCTTTCTTGCCATCTACAATACCACTTTATTTTAACCTTCCTCCTATCTGCATACTCCTTTAAAATAAATTCTGAATATAAGCACTTATTACCATCCCCACTGCTGCTTCCCTACTTCAAAGCATAATCATTTCTTTTCAAAATTTTTGCAATTGGCTTCTAACTAGTATTACTACTCTACTCATTATCCTTACCTGTTAATAGCCTTTTCCCTACTCATCAGCATTAAAAATCCTCATAGCTCTCTGCCTTACTCAATTAAAAATCCAGAGTGATTACCAGGACCCATAAGGCTATATCCAGCCTGGCCTCTGGTTACCTGTCCGACGTTGTTACCTTTTACCATCTTCCCCATTCCTTGGGCTCCAGACTTAACTAGTCTCGTTGCTGTTCCTGCAGGTTCCAGGAACCTTCCCATAAGGGCATTTATATCTCCTGTTTCTCAGACTAGAACATTCTTTGCCTGGATATCGGTAGGCTTATTTCCTTCAGTTCTTTGTTCAAATATCACCTTATCACAAAAGACTTTTCTCCTTACCCCAAAATATTTTTCTTTCACAGCTTTTATAAAAATATGCCATGATATACATGCATTGTTTATTGTCATTCCCTATACTAGCATATAAGCTCCAGGAGAGTGGAGACTTGGTCTATTTTTTTACTGCTGATTCCTCAGCTCTTGGAACAGTCTGATACTTAGTAATTATTTATTAAGTAAATGGTAAATTGGATTTTTTGTTTACTTGCATACTTTTACTGGGTTATAAACCCCACGACAGCCTATCAAAAAACTATATAGCTAATTAAATTATCACAGAGGCTACTGAAAATTCTCAATATACTTACTTGGTACTTCCACTCAATTTTCTTAACAGAACTAAATTCAATATGTTAAAACTAAACTCGTTATTCTGCCCATCGGACTATGTCTTCCTGACATTACTATTTCCATTAATGCAGTGTGATCCTCTCAGTCATACAAATTTAGATATTTAAGCCTCTTTTTACCTTTTATGCTTCTCCTTTATTGCTCTATTTGCATCAACAGATGCCAAATTTTTAATTATTACTTCTGTAAGGACACTTTGCCTCTTTGTTTCCATTCCCACTGCCACACGGTAGTTTAGACTTTTTGGCTTGAATCTGTCTTAATCATTTCCAATTCTTCTCCTGGTCTTCACTTCTGCATGTTTTTGATCATGTTATTAACTAATTAATCACTCTAAATCATAACTCTCATACTCAAATCCTTAATTGTCTATCCATTACCCAGTTCAGCTGCAGGGAGCATATAATTTATTATCCAAATGAGTACATTTTTCAGAGTTAAAAGGACACTATTATTCATTACATTGGGACGACATATATGAACTGGAATTGTCCAAGCAAACCAAAAAGCATGGTCATTTTAACTTCCACAAGGACTGTTGATTGCTTACTCAACAATCATTCCTCCCTTCTTTCTGAAAAAAAGGAAGAGGATTTACTCCTCCTAAAAATGATTTAGTGATATAAATTGAATTTTCTTAGCCAACATGGACATTGCATTCCTTTGTCAGCAACTGATTTAGGAAGGAGCACATAATCTAATTCTAGCCTCTGAAAAGTGGAGGTAGTTTGTTTCAGGAAAAGAGATTCCTGAAAAAAGATTATGGATACATTTCTTATCCTTATTCTGGTTGACATCTTGTCTGCATGTAATCCCTGAAGCTTCAGTAACCAGTTCATGATCATGAGGTGAACTAGCGGAAGACAAAGCTGACATCCTAGCCTATCTGAGAGAAAAATGAAGATAACTTGGTTCTTTAATTATATTATTGAAATACTGAATTAACCAAAACTGTGGGTAACTTGCCTCTAAATGCAGGATACTCTTCTGCTAGTGTGAGATAATATATTTTCCCTTATTGTTTAAATGAATTAAAGTGGAGTTTTCATTACTTGCTGCTGAAAGCATTCCATTTGATGCAAGCTAAACATATGTCTGCCTCTTTCTTACTCTCGCTCTCTCTCTTTCTGGCTTTCAGTATTCTTTACCTACAGCTTCTTCTTCCTTCCTTCAGTACACTCTACTTTTTAGAGGAAAACCAGAATCTATTTTTAATATACTTTAATTTTTATAGTGTGTTTATTACAGGTTGCCCCTCATTTCCGAAATACTTTCTGTTCATTTTCTGAAAGCTAAAACCCTCCAGACCTACCCATCTCAGATATTATCTCCTCATGAAAGTTTACTGATTCTTGAAATGAATCTTATCCTTGTGTCTTTTAAACCTATATTGCAATAAATTCACATTTCTCTCATTACACTGATTTAACCACATCCTACAGTTTTATGCACAATGCTAAATCTTCTACCTATTTATACTCTTCTCAGTATGCTTTAAATATCTGACACAGAATTTTGCTTATTGAGTAAATAGCTATTAAAATTGATATTTTGAAAACATTTCACAATGTACAGTTATTAGTGAGTTAAGTAGTAATACTGTTTGCTATAATTTGCAAGGTGCCACACTAAGAAAAGTATGTCCTTGTCCTCAACTTAGTATTTTAAAACATAGAAGAGGGAAAAAATAAGTAATAATTAACATATTTTTGGTTGGCAAACAGATGCTACAAATAATACATCTTTTACATGCATCTGCCCTAGGTAACTAGTTTGCCAAAGTAATTTTATTGTCAGTGCATTTCTACAATATATATTGAACACTTTGAAGAGATAAATGGAAGCTTGCCATATAGGATACCAAATTCAAAACTTCATTCTTTACTGAATTAAAAAGAATAGAGGGGAAAGACAGAAATATGATCAGTTTATGGTTATACTTCTTACTCAGATGAAATGCCTCTGCACTAGCATGTTAATATTTCAATCAGACTTGAAAGTCTGTTCCTGTTCCAGTTCCTTTATTTTAAATAACTGAATTTACCAAGAGAGACAAAGGCAGGGAGAGTCAGGAAAGGACTTACATTGATGGAGTGGTTAATATATGTCCAGGCACCATACTAAGAACTTTACATATGTCATCTTATTTTATCCTTTGTATAATCCCCCAATGTAGATATTTTTATCTCCAATTTACTAACAAGAAATCAGATGCACGGAATAGTGTCCACCAATATAGTTAGCAAACGACAGAGCCAAGATGTGAACCCACATAATCGATTAACTAAACCCAGGTCACCTTCACCATATATGCAAATATCTTAATATTTTTGCTTAAAGGTCAAAAGCTATGTTTAGTAATAGAGAATTTTCAGGATGTAAATTAAGGAATTCACAACTTAGTAGATGAGGCAAATGCTTGTGAATAATAAAATATAAAGAAAAATTCAGTAAAACCATAAAGAGTTCAGAAATGAAATACTACAATGTCTGAATTTAGATTTGGGCTATGTATAGGTTATGTACAAAGTGAGTGCAGAAAGCACAAGCACGAGAGTGCAGAGAGGGAGACAGGGAAAGGCAAGATACCAATAAACAGTGCATTAATAAATAGAAACGTCCAGGGGCAACTGCTGCTTAATTCTGCTAGAAGCCTCTGAGGAGTTATGTGGAATGCACTTTAAAATTGCTCCACCTGGGGATTGAGAAGCTGAGATATTTATCTATTCACTTACATCTTTCATTGTTTGAGGGTTATCTCTGGGGTCTGTTATATCCTCAGCACATCAGGTCTTCCCTGCACTACAAGCACTGCCCTGGGGAAAGTCCTCAGGCAGAGGAGCAGAGACAAAAGCCCTTGCGCTGAAAAATTGTCCGACCACACATGCACATGCATGACACCTGTCCACGGCTCAGAAGGGAAACAGGATGAGCAACAACACAGTCAGCTATGCATGGGAATGTAAGGGAGTTTAAGGAGCGTTGAGGCAATCAGGGCAGGAATCACAGAGGAGATAACATTTGGGTGGGTAGAAGTGAACTCAACAAGGTTTGGCAACAGGTAAGGAATAAGAGGCAGGAAGTGGAATTGAGTTTTACTCAATTTCAGCCCACCCTGACCACCCAATTTAAAATGGCAACACTTTCTTCCCACCATCCCTCACCACAATTCTTTTTTTTTTTTTTTTTGGAGACAGAGGCTTGCTCTGTCACTCGGGCTGGAGTGCAGTGGTGCAATTTTGGCTCACTGAAACCTCCATCTCCCGAGTTCTAGCGATTCTCGTACCTCAGCCTCTGGAGTAGCTAGGACTGCAGGCACACACCATCATGCCCAGATAATTTTTGTACTTTTAGTAGAGACGGGGTTTTTCCATGTTGGCCAGGCTGGTCTCAAACTCCTGACCTCAAGTGATCTGCCTGCCTCAGTCTCCCAAAGTGCTGGGATTACAGGCATGAACCACCAAGCCCAACCCCTCACCACAATTTGATCCCCCTACTTACATCATGTACTTGTTTTCCGTAGCAAATTTTGTTCACTGATATATCCTAAGTACCTAGAAGAGTGTCAGACACTTCAAAGTTGTTTGATAAACATTTGTTGAACAAAATAATGAACTTGAGCATTAAGCTCTTCAGTTAGTAGATGGCTGTCTATAAGTATAATGAAGATGATGAATCTAAAAAGAGAAGGAAGCATGAGAAAGGAAATGAATGAATGCAGTTTGGTGCCCAGTTGAATCCACTGGATCCCTATTGAGACATCAGTCATGTTTCTGCACACTGGAAAAGAAAGAAGGGCAAGGAATCTATGTTTTGTTGGCACTTTGTTTTTGCTGTTTAACTTTATATTCAGCATCATGCATTTGGTACATTTTCAAGGATCTTTTTTCTCAGTAAATCATCTATATTTATAGTATTAATATACCCTGGCGGACATAATAATCTCACATTTTTCTGGCATCATCTATCCTCAAGGGCCTCTAAGCTTTTGTGCTGAAAAGTTATTTTTCTTATGGTTTTGCATTTACTTCTTTAAACTGAGAGCATCTGTCATAGGAGCTGATTCTGCTTGGCAGCTCCCACTCACTCAATAGTGCCCTTAACATCACTACCAGACTCAGAAATCTGCTTTCTTTGTGTCTTATTTTTCTGAGCTAAACTGTCACATGATTCTCCTCTGATCACATATGCTGGGTGGAACTATGAGATACAAAGTCCTCAAAAGTGGACTCTGTGCTTTGACTTTGTGTCATAGGCAGTCTTAAAAGCAATATTATCCTGTAGCTAGTACTGGAACTTATGCTAGTTCTTGGAAGATCAGACATACATTAGAAACACTCATGTGATAGCCAATGACTGTTTCTGATATTTAGGTTTACATCTGCTTCTGCCCAATGAGATGAAATTCGCTCATATAGATTACAATAATTTGGAAATTTGCTTGATTATGTTGATGTTTACCTTTGTACTAATGATAAAGAAATGGTTTGTTAGGCAAATTAATAGAGTAAAACCATTGTGAACAGTATGCTTAAAGTTTGTAACTAATTCAAAGAAGAAATTACTTTCAGGCAATCTCAAGTAATTTAAAAAGCATCATTTGCATATAAATACACAGGATGATAGGTTAATTACAATTGTTTTTATATATTCATTGAACCTATTTCCCAAAAGCATTCTCTTAAACCACATTTTCATATTATCTAGTTTCCTTGAAAGTAAAACAAGGAGGGGCTTTTTAACTTTTAAGTTGAGTGGTACATGTGCAGGCTTGTTACATAGGTAAACTTGTGTCATGGGAGTTTGTGGTATAGATTATTTTGCTATCCAGGTATTAAACCTGGTAGATTTGTCACTAATTCTGCTTCCACCCAATGAATGAGGTTTGCCAGCAGTGTGTTCATCAGTCATGAAGCGACGTCATCAGATCACAAAGTCAAAAGCCCAATTAAAAGTCTCAACATTTAAAAATTCCAGATTTTATAGAGTTGTTTAAAGAAAAAAAAAAAAAAAAGAGTGAGCACTGAAGGAATATTATTTTAGCCAGGCATTGCGGTCCTTTCATGGGCTACAGTGCATTGAGAGGGAGCCATCTCCACGTTCTAGACTTGGGCAAAGCAAGGCTTTGAAGGGACCCCATGCCCTTAGGTGGTAGAGGGCCAAGCATATAAAAAATTGGCACTTTTTGATGAATTTCTCCAAGTGTCTCATTTTCTGATCACTGATGTTTACATTGCTTATTTCACATTGCAAACACTAGCATCGTTTTATCCTAATAATAAATGTTAAAATGTACCTGTTTTGAATACTCAGTGACTCTGTTCCTTCTCCAATTATGATTCTGCCTCTACTTCAGCCAGGAGTCCTCCATATTGTTTGAAGGAAAACTTGAAAAACATTTTTAGTGTTTTCCCTAGTAATCAATGTGTTGCTCTTAGTTTTTGTTAACTTTATGGCTAAAACTACATATAACACGACCCTTTGGTACACAGATTCCGTGAATGAGCTTGCTACTAAGAACAATTATTTATATCAATTTTTCTTTCCTTACAAACCCAATACTGATGGAAAATTGCAAGACATAGTGAAAACAATTATTGGCTGGTACTTTGGGATAGAATTAGAGAAATGGGAATTGGTTAGGCTTGCATAGGGCTGATCAGCATGTGCTATACAATGAGCAAGGCAATTCAGCTGTTTATGCTTGGCATAACTCAATTTTGTGTTGTTACCCCCACCTTTCAACAGCCCAGACACTTTCTGGTTCTGTTTCTCCAGAAACATTTCTTGTCTTCTGCAGGGATGTGGGTGGAGATTGGGTACCTGAAAGATGGGAGTTTGGTTGACAACCTGGAGTAATAACTTCTCTTCATATAGATTTTCAAACCACTTTATTTTCACTTACCTCACTGACTTTATCCTGTTCGATCTTTTATGGTATCTGATGTTTCTAATTCTTCGGGCCTTTCCAAGATGCTATGGAGGAAAAAAAAAAAAAAAAAAAAAGTGCTTGCATTTTACAGTATCTCTCTCTACAAGCCGTTAGATTTAAATTTCTTCATTCTGATAAATCAGATACTATTGTGCCACCCATTTCCATGTCCTAATATTTTAGTTTAAAGCTGTGGACATCTAGAGTATGTGTTTAGAGTATGTGTTTAGAGTATGTGTCTTGTTCTTCTTGTTTGTGTGTGATTCTCCCTAGAAAAGGGAATTGAAACCTGAAGCTGAGCTTTGTTTTTTAATAATACCTGAAGTTAATGAAAATAGGAATGAGGAGAATGCCATTCCAGGAAGGAAGAGCGATATGGTTTTAATAGTTAGTAAAAGTATATGTATGATAGATAGAATAACATCTCACCCAAAGATACCAATATTCCTAATCCCCAGAACCTGTGAATATATTACTTTATATGGCAAAAGGGACTTTACAGATATGATCAAACTGAGGATCTTCAGATAGTAAAATTATCCTGCATTAGCCAGGTAGGCACGATGTAATCGCAAGGGTCATTATAATGGGAAAAGGGAGGCAGGAGGGGTATTCGAGAAAGAAAGGACCAGAGGCAGAGGGCAGAGAGGAGCAAGACTCCTTGCCACACTGCTGGCTTTAAAGATGAATGAATGGCCCACAAGTCAAGGAATACAGGGGGCTTCTAGAAACTGGAAAAGTCAAGGAACTGAATTCTCCTCTACAACTTCCAGAAGCAATGCAACCCTGACAAACCATTAATAACTTCTCACCACCAGAATTGTACGAGAATAAGTATTTGTTGTTTTGAGCTCCTAAGTTTGTGGTAATTCTTCACAGAAATAATAGGAAATTAAGGTACTATATAGAGAGAACATAGGGAGAAAGGGTAAATAAATAATGAAGTGAAAGACAGTGAAGGGTCTGGTATGCCAAGTTAAGGAATGTAAATTTTATCCTGAGTGACAGTAATGACCATTTCAAGATTTTAAGCAGAAAGATTTTACAGTTAGTTGTTTTTTTTGTTTGTTCATTTTTACTTTATGACAACCACTCTCACAATAATTTGGATGGCAGATAAATTAGAAGGGCCAAAACCAGAAGTTGGTAAATCAGTTGGGAGACTATCTATAATCTAGTCAAGAAATGCTATGTTCACAGGAAGATACAGAAGACCCGAACAGCATGATAACAAGTAATGATATTGAATCAGTAATAAAAAGTCTGCCAACAAAATCTAGGATTCCATGGCTTTACTGATGAATTCTACCAAACTTTTAAAGAAGAACTAACATCAGTTCTTCTCAACATATTCCAGGAAATTAAAGAGAATGGAATTTTTCACAATTCATTTTACAAGGCCAGCATTACTCTGTTACCAAAACCAGAGAATGACACAACAGCAATAACGACAACAATTACAGGTCAATATGTCTGATGAACATAGTTGCAAAATTCTTCAATAAAATACTAGGAAACTGAATCCAACAACACACCAAAAAGATTACACAACATGATAAAGTGGGACTTATCCCAGGAATGAAAAAATGGTTCAACATATTCAAATCAATAAATGTGATATACCACATCTCACAGAATGAATAAACAAAAACATAAGATCACTCAATAGATACAGTGAATGCATTTGATAAAACTTAACATATCTTCATGATTAAAAACTCCCAGCAATTAAATATAGAAGGAACATACCTCCACACAATAAAGGTCATATATGACAGACCCATAGCAAACATCCTGATAAATGGGGAAAAGATAAAAGCCTTTCCTCTAAAAACTGGAACAAGACAAGTATGCTCACTTTCACTACTCTTATTCAACATATACTATAAGTTCTAGCCAGAGTGATTAGGCAAGAGAAAGCAATGAAGGGTATCCGAACTGGAAAAGAGGAAGTCAAACAGTCCCTCTTCACAGGTGACACAATTTTATATATAGAAAAACCTAAAGATTTCACCAGAAAACTCTTAGAACTAATGAAGGAATTTAGTAAAATTTCAGGATACAAAATTAACATACAAAAACCAATAGTGGTCCTGTGCACCAATAATTAACTAACTGAAAAAGAAATTTAAAAAGCAATCTCTCCTTCACTTATGAAACTTAGTTTGGCTGGATATGAAATTCTGGGTTGAAAATTCTTTTCTTTAAGAATGTTGAATATTGGCCCCCACTCTCTTCTGGCTTGTAGAGTTCTGCCGAGAGATCTGCTGTTAGTCTGATGGGCTTCCCTTTGTGGGTAACCCCGACCTTTCTCTCTGCTGCCCTTAAGATTTTTCCTTCATTTCAACTTTGGTGAATCTGGCAATTATGTGTCTTGGAGTTGTCTCTTAGAGTATCTTGTGGCGTTCTCTGTATTTCCTGAATTGAATGTTGGCCTGCCCTACCAGGTTGGGGAAGTTCTCCTGATGATATCCTGAAGAGTGTTTTTCCAACTTGGTTCCATTTTCCCCTTCACTTTCAGGCACCCCAATCAGACGTAGATTTGGTCTATTTATATAATCCCATACTTCTTGCAGGCTTTGTTCATTTCTTTTTCTTCTTTTTTCTTTAGATTTCTCTTCTCGCTTCATTTCGTTCATTTGATCCTCCAATCGCTGATACTCTTTCTTCCAGTTGATCGAGTCAGTTACTGAAGCTTGTGCATTTGTCACGTAATTTCTCGTGTCATGGTTTTCATCTCTGTCCATTCGTTTATGGCCTTCTCTGCATTAATTATTCCGGTTATCAATTCTTCCACTCTTTTTATAAGATTTTTAGTTTCTTTGCGCTGGGTACGTAATTCCTCCTTTAGCTCTGAGAAGTTTGATGGACTGGAGGCTTCTTCTCTCATCTCGTCAAAGTCATTCTCCGTCCGCTTTTTTTTCCGTCCAGACAGTTCTCAAAAGAAGACATTCATACAGCCAACAGACACATGAAAAAATGTTCATCATCACTGGCCATCAGAGAAATGCAAATCAAAACCACAATGAGATACCGTCTCACACCAGTTAGAATGGCAATCATTAAAAAGTCAGGAAACACAGGTGCTGGAGAGGATTGTGAGAAATAGGAACACTTTTACACTGTTGAGGGGGTTGTAAACTAGTTCAACCAGTATGGAAAACAGTATGGCGATTCCTCAAGGATCTAGAAACTAGAAGTACCATATGACCCAGCCATCCCATTGCTGGGTATATACCCAAAGGATTATAAATCATGCTGCAATAAAGACACATGCACACGTATGCTTATTGAGGCACTATTCACAATAGCAAAGACTTGGAATCAACCCAAATGTCCATCAGTACAGACTGGATTAAGAAAATGTGGCAACATATACACCCATGGAATACTATGCAGCCATAAAAAAGGATGAGTTTGTGTCCTTTGTAGGGACATGGATACAGCTGGAAACCATCATTCTTAGCAAACTATCGCAAGAACAGAAACCAAACACCGCATGTTCTCACTCATAGGTGGAACTGACAATGAGATCACTTGGACTCAGGAAGGGGAACATCATACACCGGGGCCTATCACGGGGAGGGGGAAGGGGGAAGGGATTACATTGGGATTTATACCTGATGTAAATGACGAGTTGATGGGTGCTGATGAGTTGATGGGTGCAGCACGCCAACATGGCACAAGTATACATATGTAAAAAAAAAGAAAAAAAAACAAAAAAAAAATAGAACTTAAAGTATAATAATAAAAAAAAAGAAAAAAAAAGAAAAAAAAAAGCAATCTCATTTACAATAGCTACAAAAAATACCTAATCAAGGAGGTAAAAAAAAAAAACAAAGAAAACTATAAAACACTGATTTAAAAATTGAAGAGAACACAAAAAAATGAAAAGACATCTCATATTCATGGAGTGAATTAATTTTTTTTTTTTTTTTTTTTTTTGAGATGGAGTTTTGCTCTGTCGCCAGGCTGGAGTGCAGCAGTGCGATCTCAGCTCATTGAAACTTCTGCCTCGCGGGTTCAAGTGATTCCCCTGCCTCAGCCTCCTGAGTAGCTGGGACTACAGGTGCCTGTCACCACTCCCAGCTAATTTTTTTGTATTTTCGTATAGAGGGAGTTTCACCATGTTGGCCAGGATGGTCTCAATCTCCTGACCTCGTGATCTGCCCGCCTTGGCATCCCAAAGTGCTGAGATTACAGGCGTGAGCCACCACTCCTGGATGTGAATTAATATTTTTTAAATAACCAGACTACCCAAAGCAATCTAGACATTCAATGCAATCACTATGAAAATACCAGTGACATTCTTTACAGAAATAGAAAGAAAAATCCTAAAATTTGCATGTAACCATAAAGATGGTGAATAGTCAAAGAAATTGTGAGCAAAAAATACAAAGGTAGAGGCATCACAGTATCTGATTCCAAAATTATTATATATAATGATAATATATAACTTTATTACATAATGTTATCATAGCTTTAAAAAACTCATAGGCCAATGCAACAGAATAGAGAACCCAGAAATAAATTTATGTGTTTAAATCTAACTCATTTTAGACAAAAGTGCCAACTGCAAACATTGGGGAAAAGACACCCTCTTTAATAAATGGTGCTGGGAAAACTGAATATCCATATGGAAAAGAATGTTTCTAGACCCTTATGTCTTACCATAATTAAAAATGAACTCAAACTGGATTAAAGATTTAAGCATAATACCCAAAATTATAAAATTAATAAAAGAAACCATAGAAGAAATCCTTCTGGACATTGATCTAGGAAAAAATTTTATCGCTAAGACTTAAAAAGAAAAAACAATAAAAACAAAAAGACAAATGGGACTATACTAAATGTAAAAGCTTCTTTACAGCAAAGGAAACAACCAACAGAGTGAAGAGACAACTGGTAAATGGAAGACAATATTTGCAAACTATTCATATGACAAGGGACTAATATCTAGAATATACAGGAAACTTGAACAACTTAACAGAAAAAAAACCTGCACAATTTTTTATTACAAAATGGGCAAAGTATCTGCATAGAC